GCTTCAGAGGAGTTGCGGGGGAGTTGAGGAGGGCCATGGCCTCCAAGCCCAGGAGCGAGAAGAAACAGGGAATATACACTGGAAAAGTCATTCTGGTGTGCCTGGGATGCGTGCCTCGGGGGGACCCAAATGGAGACCAACGTGTGGGAAATGAACAGCTGCTCTTTGGATGTCTAAGGCCCCCCTGAGGAGCAGCTGAAAGGACCTGCACAGGCTGCAGCACGGCAGCCGGCAAGGAGCTCGCCCGTGGGGTCCTGGCTGCCTTGCACCCATGGGGTGGGTCTTGGTCTCCAGGTTTGGTAGCACCCACAGGTGGCCCATGGGTTTGACCACCTCAACTCTGCCTTATGTCTTGCTAAAGCGTTACCTCGTCCTCAGCACCGGCATCCCTACAATGCCGAGTTGTCTCGCAGGGCAGTCATTGCTGCTGGTGGTTGTGAATAAAACTACAAGAAGAAATGTTGTTTTGCGGGCTGTTAATTATTTTCTTTAGTTATTGCTGATGTCGAAGGCAAAGGGCTCTCTGGTCTGTTACCTCCTTCCTTTCAAGTCAGTGTTACGCTAATGTCTAGATGTAACCACTGAAGAACTGTCATTAGTGGTTTGTTGCTTATTTATTTTCTTTTTTGTTATATTAAAGATCTTAATTGTGTCATCTTTGGTTATTATATTAATAGAGCTAAGATCAATTACTGTAACTTGATTTAAAGGGAAAAAAAATGCTCCTCGTAACGTAATATGGTACAGTTATGTGGCACCACTAAAGCCATTTAATCTTCTTAGCACAAAATACCTTTTTCTCAGACATTGCCTCTTGCTTTTCTAGTAAGTCTAATCTCAGCTTATGTATAACTCACAGGAAGCTTTAGTAAAAATTTCTGTCATTTTGTAATAATTTAGTTTATTGTTTTCTTTTCAAGAGTCATCATCTTGCTAATTGTGTGCTGAAATATACTACCACTGTACAATATTATAAGGGATAGATAGAAGAGGTATTGTGTGTAGAAGTGGTATGGCTTTAATTTCTGATTTGAATTACTTGATAGAAGGTAAACTTGCTGGTGAATAATGGAAAGAAATCCTTAATTGCTGTAAAGGACATCTGTATACACTCTCAGTACCCAAATTAATTCAATTACAGTTTCTACTTTTGTAGAAATAGTGTATTTATTTTAGAATACAGTGAGAATTAAATGGCAATTGCCAGTGTTTCTGGGTAGGTGCTGGTACAATATCGGCACAAAATACTGAGCATCATGTGAAGGAAAATCCGCAAATGTGTGTTTTTGTTTCTATTGTCATTTAAATAGTGTACTAACTTCCAGTGGAAAATAATCAAAATGTGCAACTATCTGGCAATGTTCTGGGGAGATGTTTTCATTACTCTGTTTTAGAGAGAAATTAGAATAATCTATAACAAAAAAAAAAAATCTGAATTTCTGTCTCTATCCCCTCCCCAACCCTGCCACCGCATTTCCCAGTTCCTGGGCAGGAAGCTACAGGTGCTGTTTTCACAAAACTTTGTCAAGACTATTTTAAATAAAAACACTTTTATTTTTCTTACCCTCATTCAACACAAAGTGAGTTTGTTGGCTCAATCAGTTTCCGACTGGGCAAATTTCCACAGTGTTTTTTGATACAATTCATGGCTGATATCAACCCTGAAGCCATTCTTTTGGAGGCTCCCTGGAGAGCAGCTCAAGCTCTCACTGGGGTGCAGGCTAAACCAAGGCTGCCTCCAGAGCTGAGTCCTTTAGGTTTGCATCTTCACGGTTAGGATGAAGCAGCCTGAGAAAAACACCGATCCCATACATGAGATTTACTGTGCCCTCTCTGTCAGGAAGATAACAGAGTTTCTGTTGTGGTTTACTGGTACTTTATCACCAGGTGGGAAAGATATATGGCTCCTAAATCAACTTTACATCCCGAATGCCATTGAGATTTGGCCAGCTAGATCAGATGAAAAGATTTCCTTCGTGGCTGGGAATATCTGTCAGATAGCATCTGTAGTATGCCGTGTTAAAATATTTCTACTGAGGGGAGTTTTAGGTCTTGTTATAGTCAGTATGCTAGTGATGCAAGTCGAAATGCTATCACCCATGATTTCCACGTTTCTCATGACAAAGCATATAAAAATAAGCAGACCAGCTGCTCACCTACTGCCAAAAGCTTGCTTGTCAAACACTGCATGCATTATGATTTAGGTTAAGGTGCCTGCAGCTCTTAGTGTTTGCTTCTAAAAGCTGTGTGCATTAAAAAAAATTTAAATTAATGCAAAGTTAATTAGTCAAGATTTAAATTAATTCAAGTGTGAAATATTTCTCTGGGGGCACAGGTGTGAGGAAGTGGCCAAAGCCAAGAGAAGGGGCAAATTAAATGGCTAGGTATGCAGCATTATTTGACCTGCATCCACATAAACTTGTCTTTAGCGATGTTTTAAGCACACATTCTGTAATTGCATGTGTTCCTTCAGCCATTGCTGGCTCGGCCCTTTGAAAATATCTCTGTTTCAGTTTGCTTTTATATGAAGGGATGATAATATCCAAGAATCAGTACTGAAGCATCAGCCAGTTGACCAGCACTGCAGTTCTCTGGCAATGTGGGTTATGTTTGTATGTGATAGTACAAGGGGAGCTGTTTCCCCAAATCCCCTCCACCATCTAAGCAGTCTGCCCTTTGACTGCCCCACAGCCTGCTCCTCTCCTCTGACTCTCTGCAAATTATCTGAGGATGTGTGTTTTCTGAAGGTTTATTTTAAGGAGTGATACTTTTAAAGGAATGAGATTGCATGCCTGAAAGTAGGTTAGTTTTAGAGTCTTATTTATGGTTGTAAAAGGCATGTGTGATTTTTTTGCAAACAATTTGTGTCTAAAGTGTAAAAAGCTTTTGACAGAACCTGTTTCATTTCTTTGCAAAAATACAGTTTAAAGTGGATGGTCCAGTGGCTAAGAAACAACTGTGGATATCAGTATCTGGACTGTGATATTAATTTTTTTTTCTTGAATTTAGAGGCATGCACTGTTTGTGGTTTGTGCAGCGAGGCTGTCTTCATTTTGTTGTTGTTGTTGTTGTGTCATGCAAGGAAGATCTTGTTTTACTCAACATGGCAAACTTCACCTAGTAATAATTAAACTTTGGCTCTGTTAAGAAGTTTTGAATTTTACTTAAAGGCACGGGAGCAAGCAGGTCATAATCTGCAGAAAAGATGTAAAACCACTTCTCTAATGCCTTAGTCATTCTTCTGACTCCATTTAACTTCAAAGGTAGCTTTGTATTTGGCCTAGTACCAGCCATAAGAAGCACAAAACTCTGTTAGTACATTCACTTCATACTTTTGCCAAGATCCATCAAAGCACTGGGATAACTTTCTGTACATATTTCATAACCTCTTTCAGGCAATCTGATGAGCATTACCAGATGTTATTACAAACAATCAAAAAGGTGTTTCACCACCTGGAACAACATTGAGGGTCAGTGTCCTAGAATCTGAGCATCTAGGATAGATAGACAGTATAGAAGTTAAGTGTGGGCTCTCCTAGATAGTGTCCTGGTGAGTATTGTGTTACTATTGATCATGAGCCCTACGTTATTCAGTATAAGAGAGGGAGAGAGATGATAATTACCGAATGAGTTGAACATTCAGTATAAACATTTCTCAGAATTTGGTGAGAGAAGTGAAAAAGTGATTTTTCTGTTACCAACAGTGAAGTATCCTTATTTCTGTGGCTGACTGGGAAGCAGAAAGCAGCCATATTTGGGCTGAAATTCTCTGAAGAATGTGCAATAAATAGACTCCTCTCCCTCCCAAACTGCTGTGCTCATGAGACCCTGCGGAACCTTCCTCCGAACTATCTATTTCCAGCTCAAGAAATAGTTAGCACCACAGGACTTGTTTATTTAGTGTGGAGAAAAGACTGAGAGGAGTAAGTTCTTAAAATAATAAATTCTCTCTTCGTGAAACAGTGTAGCAGTAAAATTGTGGTGGCAGATTAAAGGCATTAACTTTCTATTTGGGAATTGGTGTTTGTTTTGGTGAGGTTTGGTTTGGGGGAAGGAGGGTGGCTTTTCTGTCTTGCATTTGGACCCTCTTGTACGTGCTGACCCAGGTGCATGGCGCACTTGGCGGCATGGCAGAAGCAGCCTGTGCCAACCCCTGGTTTGGCTTGTGGAGGTGGGCAGGGGTGGGCACTATACAACTGACTCCTTTTGAGAGCCATTGAAACCACGTCTGCCTCGTGCCAGGTTGGTAGGCATGGGGAGCAAGAACAAGGTGACAGAAGCGCGAATGCCCGGTGCACCCCGCGGTGTGGGGCTGTTTGGCACAGAGCTGGCTCTCTTCGGGAATTAATCCCAGGCTTAGAGGTCGGCTGCAACACTGCAGGTTGCCCATTTTGCTCCCTTCCCATGGCCATGGAAATCTGGGACTTTGTGGGGTGAGATGTCCAACCCTCATGCTCTGAAACCTGAAAGTGTTACTGAACGCAGTGGCTGTGCTCCAGATGTGTTTTGCTTGCAACAGCTGGAAGGGAAGACTTGCCTGATTAGAGCAAGGGCAGTAGCCAGGCAGCTCAGGACATTGACTTTTGGAAGGTGTGCAGCGTTGCCCAGGGACTAGACTTGGAAATGCTATAAAATGTGGAAGAAGACCAGATTTTTCCAGTATGTGTGTTGTCAGACCCTAGGGAAGTCTAAATGCAGACTGGACACAAGTGACTTGAACAGCACTAACATCCTTGAGAGCGTTTCAGGCAAAGGGAAGGGAAATGACGTCTCTTCTACTTGCCTGTCTTGCGTACTGTGTGTGGTCATCATGAACAGATCATCAACCTTCTTTGGCAAGCTCCCTCTGAGGACAATCCAGGTTTCCCTTCCTGTCACTTTCTAGAAACTGTACCCAGAAAGGTAACAAATAGTGAGGGGGAACTGCCACTTTCATAGGTCTTGGAGAGGCTTAAACCAGCCCTGATGATTTCCTGTTGTAGTAGTTGTAATTGCTAAAAGAATTAGTTACATTTGTCTCATTGCATCTGATGTAATAGTTGTGGGTGGCTGGAGAATAAGGACATCCAACAGGAAGTAAGAAAATTACAAGTGCTTTCAACATTTTCCCTGTATGTTTTTTTTTTCTTTTTAAATTAAAGTTTTTAGACAAAAGTAGTCAAAAGTGTTTCTGTAGGCATGTCTGTGTTAATAACTTCTAAAATTTATTTTCCAAATCTAGATCATCGACAAGGAGATTAATCCCTTTGTGGACAAGTGGGAAGAAGAAGGACAGTTCCCAGCACATAAAGTATTTAAAATCCTGGGACAGGCAGGATTCCTTGGTGTGGATAAGCCAACAGGTAGGAAAGTGTATAACTCCTGAGTGTTGATGCTGATGGTGATAGACTCATTACATTATCTCAGGTCGCTTTTGCCCCAGATCAAAACATGGTTTGGAATTCAATGCAAAGTTTACTTATATTCCTCAGTCACAGGTGTGCTGGTTACCAGCTGTGCAAACACAGAAAATGTTAAAAACCTGTATGACTGTTATTTGAAAGTCAGCGAAATGAACATCACTTAAATTTTCAACATGCAATCTGTATAATGACTTTTCTTCTGGATCCGGACATACATGGAATAATTTCAGTCTTCATTAAAGAAACCACAGTTTGAAGGCATTGAAAGTGTTGTAAGATTTGTAAGATTTGGCCTGTTATACTTCCTTAACCTGTAACCTCTAGATCATTGTAATGTATTCTGTCTCGCCATTCAGAGGATGAGGTTTGTGTGAGTTTTAGACCTTTATATCCTAGACTGTCTTTAAAATGCACAATTCCAGCCCACAGAAGCATGTACAGAACAAGCAGCTGATGATACACACAGCAAGGACAGAGCAAGTTTCATGTGTACATATATATATTGGTGAGGAAAAAAGTCAAGAAGTCCAGAGGAACAGGAGGTATTTCTGCTCTTCAGCTAAAATACATATTCCCCTAGTTTTTTTGTTTGTATATGATGTAATATATACTTGTTTTCTTTTCAAATGATACTGTTACATGTTCCTGTCAGAATTCTCTGGGTTTTTTTCCCCCCATTTTCTTATTCATGGTTAAAAAGTTTAAAACAAAAGCAAGATTGCGTAGACAAAACTTTGGCAATTGTGGTGAATTCAGAGGAGCCCCAAGTGACAATGTTTGGACAGTTAACTGCAGATAATCATCTATATGGAGCAGCTCACACAACCTTAGCTATGCCACACCACATCATTATGTTGCTAAGGGACAGGGTTTGAACTGTGGAACAAATTATGTCTTTTTACCACTTACTTTCAGAGGAAATACTTCCTCTTGAAATGAACTTTCCTATTCTTACACATTCTGATGTGGAAGGTTTTTTCTCTAGCTGTTCAGCTGTTGGAGCTCACAGAACTGTTTAGCTGTGATTGTCTGACAAATCCAATTAGGTCTGAGCTGGTATTTTTTTACAAAAATGCTGACAGTTTGAGATTATACTTAAGATCTATTTAAAGGACAAATAGGATTACTGAGGGAGGGAGAAAACCACCTCTACCTTCTGTTGTAATTGTTTGATAGGCAGATTTGAAATCTGTCTCAGTGGGGTCTCCTTCACACTGCTAACATTCACGTTGGCTGTAATGGTGTGTTGCACTGCTGCCCGATTACAGCCCCGTCTCGTTGTTATATGTGTCTCAGGGCATGCAGAGGCCTCGGCTGGGGTAAGGAACCTCAGTGCTGAGCGTGCTGTCATAAAATACTGTGGAGGTGGGAACTTTGTATAACGCTCACAAAATAGCTAGGACAGGAACTAATGTGAGTGAAATCTAGTGAAGAAGGGACTTGCAGAGGCGAAGATGGGCACAGAAGGTTGCATGCTTTGACTATGCTTGTTATACTCATGATTAATAATATTTTAGCCTTGGCTTTGACACTTGTATCTAGCTGTTAATCTAATTTGTTGGGCCTCTGCAGCTGCATTTCATAAAAGCTGTAAAAAAACTGGATAAAATTCTCAGTGACACATGGTCCGTCTCAGTTCATCTTCTGGAGCAAGGTATTGTTGGGTACAGAAAATGCACCAACTCCCTGTAAGACGCTGCCTTTGCAGCATTCAGTTGTGCAACAGAATGTCACTGGATCCAGCTTTGCTCTGTAATGGTATAGTACCACCAGGCACATCCTGAAAGTGCTGAAGCTTTCTCGTGATGGTAAGTGAAAGAGTCAGGCGTGTAACAGCGCAGTCTCAACAGCAGGACTTTGGCAAAGCCTGAAATTCTTCATCCTTCTACAAAGTGCTTATACTTGCTGTGATTGTGATTAGTGTGTACTGGTAGTAATAATAAATTAAAAAAAAAAAACAACCACCTTTTTATACTTTGCTCAGCCACTTCTATTATTTAACTGCTGTGTGCAGAGGAAGAGAGATCTGAAGAGATTTGAGGAAGCCAAGAGCAGCCGCGAGTTTTGGGGGGATGTTGGGAGAGGGCTGGAGAAGAGAGGTTAATTGATTTGAGGAGAGCATTCAGGACGCGGAGCCATGCGAGTAACAACCTGCCCTACTTTCTCTTTCCAGCACAAACCAAAATTATAATTATCATTGTGTATGTATCATTGTATCCCTTCAAACCCAGATCATAAAGCATTCTGTGTAAAGAAGTCTAATTTTTTTGAGTGAATTCGCTTTAGTAGCAACTGCAATTTTGAAATAAAAGTTTTTCTGATTTTGTTTTCCAGGGTCATTCTTTTGAATACAGGTTTGGTGGTTTTTTTTTTTCCCTGTAGAATTAATTTTGTGAAGCTTTCTGATTGGGCAGAAACGGGTCACAAACTTGTTTTGCTTAGATAGAAGGAAACATCTGTTGGATTTCAGATTTGTTGAAACTGGACTTTTTCCTGTGTAAACACCGTTCCCTTTATGAACAATGAGCTGCTTAATGGGAGTCAGGTTTTCAAAAGAACGTGCCTTACATATGTCCCTTATCATTGGAAACTTTCTCTGTGTGGAGAACTGATTTGGGGCACTGTTTGCATTGCAAAGGCTCCATCAATTCCCACCATATGCAGTTGTGGGCTACAAATTTGTCGTGGTTTTTCCTGTATATTTTTTCACAGTTGTTTACGCTTGTAGTGAATATTGGCTGTAGTACAGTTGTTCAGGATGTTAGTTGGAGGGGCCATGTAAACACTGTGGTCAAGGCCCAGCCATGCACCTGTAATTGGAGAATCCTGAAGATGATCAGTGGATTTAACTTACTACGCTGTCTGGTCAGTCCTCTGCCAGAGAAGGATTTTTCTTTTTGAACCATTTCTCTGCGCTGGTAGTCTTTACATGACTCAAAAATAGTGCATACACTGGTTTTCCTTGGGAAAAAGTGTGTGGTGTTCTGTTATATTAGGAAATTCTTCTTACTAGTAAAATACATGCTGAAAAAGTGAACATTATTTATGCATAAAAAGTGTTTTTGCTCTATGCAAAATGTGTTTTACAGAATCACTCAGTTCAGCCTGAAGTATTTAGTTTGAGGGGAAAAAATACCCAACATCTCTATATACTTATTAAGTATAACTTCATTTATGTTTACTGTGTGTTTTTCCTCAAATTATAAAGTTTCTGGGATATTGAGGCACTAACAGTCCCGAAACTAAGAGAAGAAAATATTAGGGTAGGCAACAAAAATATTTTAAACAGTCTTGGTAGTTGGCCATTGTCTGTTTTGCTAAGGGAAGTGGGCAAGACATATTCCTCATATTCCTTTGAGTGTTTTATGTGCAGATTAGATGAGATACTGGAGTAAAGGCTGAAAGGATCTATGCGGTCATTTGTGATCTTATGGTTTATGAATCAAAGCCTTGGCTGTTGCTAAATTTTAGGGTGTGTTGCCAAAGACACAGGCTCAAAACGTACTGTTACGTGCCTGCGTATGCTGACGCAGATGATTAAAAGTTGTTTTTATCAGCTGATGCAAAAGCACAGGAATCCTGTAAAGGCTCAGGGAAAGCGAAGAAGGGGGGAGAGAAAGGTTTGTAAGAGGGCAGTGTCTGCTGGCCTGCATATTCATATAGCATCACTGTGAGACATGAGCGATAATGATGCCCGCTCTGGGTATTTCATTAGTGTTTTCACTGGCAGTCCTGTAGGAATATTTAGCAGAATGCAAGAATGCATTAGCATGTAGAAATAATTATGACAGGTATGTCCAAATAGTAGCCTTCATTTATTCCTGTCAAACACTTAGCAGTGCACTTGCAGAAATATGTTCTTACATGTATCAGTAAAGTCAGGAAACTGTGCGGTAGGACTTGTATGTGGATGGGAAAGTGTAGTTTTACACTATCTCCTTCCCCTACTGCTGGGATATGCGCTGGTTATGGGACTGGAGAAAGTAATAAGCAGTATGTTGTTACTCAAGCCAGATAAGCATCTGATGAAAAAAAACAGAACGGATGTTTCAAATGATTGATTGCACTGCAATTGCAAAATTATGTAATATCTTTCCTTAAGAAAGCCTGTTTATTCCAAGTGTCTGTGTGTTGAATGTGGGAATATAGATCTAGACCATCCTCTAAGGTTAACTTTGTTACTTTCTTCACAAGTATACGTTTTTCTGGTAAGATGAGACCTCATGAGAGTTTGGTAGTGGAGAGTCACTTGAAAAGAGTGTGTGGGGTTCTTTCTCTTTCTTTTTTTCTTTTTCCCTTTCTGTAATACTAAGTCTTATTATTATATGGAATGAGCAAAAGAAAGACCTGGGAGGAGCAGTGGATTCTGTCACTAGAAAGGGACTTGGTAGTTCAGGTGAAACAGAGTTTTATGGCCTCTAAGAGAGTAATTGAAACAAACCTTTTCAGGTGTATCTGTGGAAGCTAAAAGGTATATATTTGTCAGAAGAGAATTCATTTGCCCCAAACCATTTCTGTATGGCAGGAATGGACCAGCTGCAATGCTTGTGCTTGGTTTAGTAGATTTAAGCATAGCCAGCTGAACTAATTGCTTGATCTCTTTCTCGCTTACAAAGGAGTGCAGTCGTAGTTAGTTAATAATAGTTGCGCTCTGTAAGTTTGAGAGAGAAGCTGTTGTGCCACGTTTTCAGGTACCAATGAGCCGGTAAATCAGCACTCTGAAATGTTTACCAGCTATGAGATATACCTGGTTTGCAATCAAGAAATAATCTCGATAAGCCCCTAAAAAACAATAGGCCAAAATTAATCACTGCTTTATTTGAATGAAATTGATGACAATGTTAGTAATGGATGGCAGTGGTTTGGAGGCCTTGATCAGATAAGTATAAGAAATTTCAGGTACTTATCTGACCTCCTTAACTTGGTGGATTGGATTGAAA